AGGAGTTGGGAGCTGGTCTGGCCAGGTTCCCTGCATCAACCCATAGTGAGTGAGCAAATCCAGACCCGTCCATAGAGAAGGAGGCTTCAGCGGAGGACATACTCAGACAAGGCAGACTTCCCGGAATGAGAAGCTGCAGTGACTTCAGTCACATATCCCCCTCTCAATCAGGATTGGTGGGGAATGCCTGGCCTGTGAGATGCTGCTGGCTGAGACTCAATAGACTAGCCCAACTCAGGTCCCAGCACTTGGAGGTGCACCCTAGCGGTGAAGCCTTTGGTAGGTTGACCTGGAGGGGCGGGCCCAGCATAGGTTGCCCAGGTCTGTGTCTCCCTGGTGCTGCTATGGTGGGCGGGAACACCTAGCTGACACAATTCAAACAGACTGTGGCCAACAGGGAAGGAAGCTGGGCCTCCTATACATGCTTAAATGTAAGGAACAAAGAATATGGCAAGAGCGAGCAACAAGAAAGTGTCCTTGACCCCCAATCTTGAGAAACACGCAATAGCAGACACGGCACCAATAGACATAAAGCGCTATATCCAGAGCCTCATAGATGAGTTCAGGAATGAAGTTATCAATGACCTGAAGCAAGACATAAGCAGAATAGTTAGACAAACGCTAAGCACCACCCAAGAAAAAACAGATGGTGGAATGGAAGAACAGAAAAAAAGGGGAGAATTGTTTGATGGAGAAGATAGAGAAAACATAGAATAAGTAAAGCAAGTTCAAAGAGATTACCAGGAAACTAAAAACTCTATCAAAAACTGGCATAGCAGCTTGAAAGAAACTAAGGACAGATTATCTGAACTGGAGGGCAGATTTGTAATATGGGAGCATGAAATGAAAAACTTCTTAAAAATAACAAAAAACAAACAGCAACAATACAAAAACTAGAAGATGATAAGAGGATCTATAACTTTAGAATTAAGAACATAAGAGAAGAAGTGGGGACACAAACAAATGAACTACAAAAGCTATTCACAGAAATAATCCAAGTGAATTTCTAATTTGGCAAATGGTAAAGATACTCAGATATATGAGGCATACAGGATTCCAGCCACCTACAACCCAAACAGAGCTACACCCAGGCATATAATAATCAAAATTTCAGAAATCCAATATAAGAACAGAATATTAAAAGCCATCAGAGACAAGAAACAGATCACTTACAAAGGAACACCCATCAGAATTATAGCAGACTTCTCGGCACAAACCATCAAATCACGAAGAGCATGGGGGGAAATAATTCAAGCTTTGAAAGATAATAACCTCCTGCCAAGATTGATATATCCTGCACAACTGTCCCTAGAAATTGATGGATAAACAAAGTGCTTCCAGGATAAAGAGGAACTAGGGGAATTTGCAACCACTAATTCAACTCTACAGAGAATACTGCAGGATAGTCTAAAAAAGGAAAATACCAAGATTCTAGAAATAGTGGCAGAGAGGCCACAATGAATGGAGCAGAAAATGAAATAAAGAAGACAAACTGACAACAAACGACAGAAAAAGAGCTCAACAGAAATGAGGCAGAGAAGATCGGAAGGTAGGAACAGCAATTTTGGAGAAAACAAGACATCATAATAGCTAGTGCTGATTTAGTATCATCTTGTTTTGAAGTCCCATCAAACGTGAATTCTTCTGTCTCCATTGGTCTTAAAAGGTTGTTATCTTATTGGATTTTATTATATATGATAATATAAGCAAAAACTTTTATAGACAAGGAGTTTATATAGAAATCATTGTTCATTTTCTGTCAATTGGTTCTAAATACCCTGTAATTATGTCATTCTCTTGAATGGTTTAATGTGTCTTGATATGTTTGGTGCTAAAGTATAAGAAGTAATACTCAAAGATTTCAAGGAAAGAGACACTATGGTAACTATTTTTATGTCAGGATATCTTGTGGTGAAACACTATTTTGCTTAAACGGTTATGATTTGACCTGCACTGCCCTCTTTTATCTCAATCCTCCCTTTTTTAATTATTTACTTTTTTCTTTTATTTTTTAATTAAGGGAAAAATAAATTAAAAATAGCAGGATATATTATAGTAACCTACTTTGATTTCCTATTAACTTGATTTGAAATCCTGTATTGTCCTCACCATTTTGTTTTGACTGATTTTCCTCTATTCTGCTTTGCTTGATAGTACCAAGTTCGAAAGTATAGGCATAACTGTGAACAATAAGAGTCATTATGATGCCCATTCCGGTTGACTATTATCTTCTTTTAAAGTCCTGTAATGTCTCCAGTGCCTTGGTTTTATTCTTTACTGTTTAGTTCAATTTTATTATAACTGCCAATTCTTCTTAAAATAGCAAGAGGCAGTATGGTAACCATTGTTGATCACCTTATATTTTGTTTTTACATTATCTATTATGTCCATCCTTTTGATTTGACTGACTCTGTTCTGATATGTCGCATTTGTTTTTACTCTCTTCAAAAAGAGCAATTAAAATTGTGGGAGTAATAAAGCCCAAAATGTGTAATTGTCATTGTACAAAAGAAAAGAAAGTACTCTAAAGGTTATAGCTGCAAATATGTTTAGGTGTATAAGACAGATAACCATATTACTGAGTATTCTTTTTGGATCATTGAACAAAACTGTTTGCACTCTCACTGTTTGAAGGTCCACTTTATATGCCTCAATTTTGTAACTTGAACGACTATTTCTAAGAGGAGAATATGTAATCTATTAACTAGTGATTTCTTACTGTTTACTTTTTAAATTTTGTATTACTTGTACCCTTTCTCCGTTTTTTTCCTTTTTCTCCTTAAATAAAAAAAGAAGAAAAAAGTTTACATCCTATAATTTAACAAGCCTACTTTCAATATAATCATACCATTCCTTAGAAATTGTGTGCAGTCTGATAATGTTGTAATTTATAACATTTCTAATAGTGCTGTATGAAAATAATAATTTTTTTATTTTGAAGAGAATTAAACCAAATGTGACACAACCAAATAGTCAAAGCAAAAGGATGGACATAGTACATGGTGTAAAAACAAAATACAAGATGATCAACAATGGTTATCATAATGCCTCTTGCTATCTTCAAAAGAATTGCCCATATCAACAAGTATAATAAAATTGAACAAAACAGTACAAAACAAAGCCATGAAAATGAAATATTGGAGATATTATAGGATTTCAAAAGAAGATAATAGTCAAAACAGAATGGGTATCATAGTGAATTTTACTGTCTTCAAAGTAGTTACCTATGCTCTCAGACTTGATACTATCAAACAAAACAATAGAATAAAATCAGTCAAAACAGAACAGTGAGAGCAATACAGGGCTTCAGATCCAGCTAATAAGAAATAAAAATGGTTATGATAATATATCCTGTTATCTTTGGAATAGCTGTCCATGCTATCAAATCTAATACAAGTAGACAAACTAGAACAGAATAAAACCAAACTTAACAGAACAATGAAAGGAGTATGGGTTTCAAATCATGAAAAAAGTTTAACAATGGTCATTGCCTTCCCTTTTTAGACAATTCCTCCCCTTTCACATTCACAGGGTGCATTATACATTTTGTATTCCACTAGTTCCTTTAGTTTTTAGATTAGGGAGGCAACCCACTATTTACCTATTTGGTTCTGAAACTTTTACCCCTGAACATGATCTCAAGTTCTATGCATTTATCTAGAAGAGCCTCAAGGTTTTCTTTCTTTATAGCTGAGTAGTTTTCCATTGTATAAAAATATTATGGCTTTCTAGGCAATCTAGAGCTAATGGACCAACTACCCCCACTTTTATCTGGTTCCCTGTCACACAGAGGATTGTTTTCTCATCTTTGACTTTCAGTCTATAAACTCTACTTCAGGTTAATTATATTTCTTATATAGAGCATATTGATACACCCTATCTCCTGATCTACTCTGCCTGTGTTTCTTTTTATTGGTGAATTGAGGCTGTCTATATTAGTGATTATAGCCAACCTTCTCTGTCTCACATGTTATTTTTTCTGCCATTGGTTGTCTACTTTTTCCCTTTATTCCATTGTCTGACCCATTCAGTGAGCCCCCTCTGCCACTGTTCTGAAACCATGGTCTTTTTTCTCTCTCTAGAATGTTCTTCAGTATTTTTTGTAGGGTTGGCTTGGTGGTCGTGAACTCCCCCAGTTCCTCTTTTTCATGGAAGTATCTTGTTTATCCATTAATTTTGAGAGATAGTTTTTCAGGATACACCAGTCTGGGTTGAAGTTTATTTTCTTTCAGGACTTGGAATACTTCACTCCAAGCTCTTCATGATTTGATGGTTGTGTCAGGAAGGAAAAATCTAATTTTCTGTTTCCAGTCTATATCCCCTTAAGGATAAATACTATTCTCATTCCAACTTAGTAGCTTAAGTTTGCTTAGTCTCATGTACATGAACTCTTTTATGTCTGAGTTTTATGGCCCAAGGTTGTTTGTGAGATTTTTTTCAGTTGTGCATAATTGTGATTAACTTTTTAAAATTTTATTTAAAGAAAAGAAAGTTTAAAAATATAAAAAACAAGGAAAAAGTAGAATACAGAATTTTTAAAAATTAACATCATAAAATCACTAGTTGATACATTACATTTTGCCATCTTAATAGTTGTTAAAGTTATAAAATCAAAGCATAAAAAGTGACTAGACACTCTAAAATTGACAGTGCAATCTCTTCTCTTCAGTGATCTAATAGAAATTTAGTAACATGATTTTTTCTTTTTCTTTTCTTTTCTTTTCTTTTCTTTTCTTTTTTTTTTTTTTTTTTTTTGGTACCGAAGATTGAACTCATGACTGTGTGCTTTCAAGGCGCTTATGCCACTGAGCTCAATCCCCAGCCTGTGATTAACTTTTAGGGTATACTTTTTACAATCTAAACTAACCTACAGAAATGCTTTGTTATAAAAGTTCATAGTGGGCCGGACTATAGCTCAATGGCACAGCACCTACTTGGAAAGCATAAGACCCTCAGTTAAATTCCTGGTACTAAAAAAAAAGCCCATCGTATGTTCAGCATATTTTTCGAACTTGTATTCATTTATCGCTACACAATCAGTGAATACCCAATTGCAGAAAATATCCACCAATTTACATTTGTATTATTCTCCATAAACTGCTTACAAATTCTAAACTATCTTTGTGGTTACAATCCTTCACCTGCTCATTTTTTTACAGTATCATTCTGCTTCAGTTTCTAAAGCTTTATACTCTCTGGCAAGACATACAGAAAAATCCTCCCCATCACTTCTATTAACATCAGAAATTTTAAGACACATCTTACAAATTTCACGATTATTTTTGTTGAACAGATTTCTATATTCATATGTAGCTGTATTAACCCTTATTGTTTTTTAAACTGTGTTTTTTGTTCTCTAAACTGCACTTACATGGACAATATAATTGTTACCATCTTAAAGAAAATCATCAAATACTTGCTCTGTTTTATTTTTTTTTTTTGCTCCTTTATGCTAAATTGCTTTTCCCATTAGATTTTTCTAAGCATTCAGTCATCAGACATCAGACTGTGATGGGTAGAAACAATGGAATGGAAACTGGCCTAGGACCAGTCTATGAAGAGATCAGTCTCCAGGTCAGATATCAATCCTGGGTGAAGTTAAAGCCCCCGTGACTTGGATCCTGTTGAGCTGTTGGTGGAAGGAGAAAAGATCTGGGGCTCCTAATATGATCCTGTTTTCCAGACTCAAGGTTGCCATTTCCATGGTGATGATGAATAGGCCTTCTCTGAAAGAGTGATCTAGGTGAGTGATAAATACAGAGGAGCAATCACTGAAGAAAGTTTTGGTTGTGTTACGAGCGAGAATTGTCCAGAAGTATAAAGGAGGGAGGCCAGCAGACCAGGGGTCACCTTAGGAAGAGGTCTGAAGAACTGATGGCTCAATGCTAATGTCCACAGCAACTCATTGCCCAAAACGCATTTTACAGTAACATGTAAGTTAGTTTTTCCTCAAAATATTGTCACTGATGCCCAGGGCCCACACTGTCTCATCCTCACCCCCAAATCTCAGTTCCCCTTTGCTGACGTGAGCCCCACCTGACCCGGGGTGTAGAGGAAGCTTTCAGCGTCCTATGGGACATCTGGCTATATGAATGTTCACAGGTTGCAATGGTCTCATGTTCCCCAGGAAGAGTGGATTTCACATGAGTTTTCTTTACATCCTGGGTCATACTCACTGTAAAGAAAAAAGTCCATGCTGACAATGAATCCATGTTGAAAAGTGTTAATTTTATGCTATTAACATCTAAAGAAGCAAATGAACATTTTAGTAACACCAGAAATTTCATGTAGAACTTCTAGGGCACAGAAAATACCCCACCAACATACAAGAAAGCCTTCATTGGCAAGGCAGGAACTGCCAATAGAAAAAGCATTGCATTTTAAGAGATCTCAGTAAAAGTTCACACCAACAGAATCTCTGAAGATCTCAGCTCTCGGCTTCAGCAGCAGACAGTGATCCACTAACTTTTTCTTCTTCTCCCTTCACTGGGGTTTAGGGAATGATGGTTACAGAACCAAGTTATTGTCTTCCAATCCTGTTGCTCCTATTATTGCTGTAAGCTTAAAATTCGTTTATAACTAAGGGGGGACATGAATATAAACCAGAGATTCTCCACATTCAATGATTAACGAACGCTCTCTGATGCATTCTTGACCACTGAAAAGAGAGGCCAAGAAAAGCGCACAGTAAGTCGCACTGCCACGATTCCTTTGCACTGGGTCTATGTCCACAAGTTACCTTTTTTACAGCTCTTCATCCAGATCAAGCCTATGGTCACCATCAGAAGCAATCCCAAAACAGGCAGCATCTTCCATGAAAAATTCTTCTTGGACTCTGAAAGGAAAACAATAGAATTCCTGTAACCATGACACCGGAAGAGTATCCAGACTGTCCTTCAATCCGAGCAGCTCCTGGGATGGCAAGAAGGCGCCGCTCAAGCCCCTTGATCTAATGCTGTGTAGAGGCTGGGGAATGGCTGTAGGGCCCAGACTGACTTTGGTGTGTGCGTCTCTCAGCAGTGTGCACGCATGCACACACTCACACACTTACTGTCTCCTTGTTTTTCAATTAGACCACACATCCAGTGGAATAGCTGGAGTGGCAAAAGGGGAAATTGCTTAGGTACAGCCAAGAAGATGATGTTAGGAAAAATTAGTTTCTAATCTGAATTAACATCCACCAAGACAGAATAAAATTCTACTCTTGTTTTCACATAAGAAGTGAATGTGTAGGTCTTACAAATTAGAGTCAGCTATTAGAATTTAGTATATGCCCAGCAGTGAGAACATCTTTGGAGCTCTGGGTGGGAGTATGGATGAGAAATTCAGAGAAGCAGGATCCCTAGGAGTCCTGAAGATCACATTTGCAAGATAGAGTAGAATATTAGATCAGAGTGAAAAAAAATATTTATAAAGTTAAATAAAAACAAGTCTGAGTTGGTTTGATTTTTATCTCCTGTTATCCTGAGAGGACCATGTGGAATCACCAACCTGAGAGGGAAACAGCCACTGTCTTCTCCTCACCCAGCGGGAGGTTGCTGATGGAACAAGCCACGTTCATCACGGAGCTGTTTGTGACTAACAGGTGTGACTCCACGTCAAACAGGCCATTTTGGCCCTGATGTAGGACTGCAGGATCCGATGGCACTATTCTTCCTTCTGTGTCCTTCCACTGCACGTGGGGCTGTGGGAACCAGCCGTCAGAAGTGCACGTCAGTTGTTTCTCTCCAGCCTTATGCCTCTCCACGGTGACAAATGGGGTAGAACCCACGGCTGGGAAAACAGAACAAGGAATCAATGCTCGGGGCCCCTGCAAGTAATAATGAGCGTGGCTCCCAGAAGGCTTGGGGAAGACAGCAAAGCTTAGGAGACCACGGTACTGCACTTAGAGATGAGAGTGGATTTTTCTTTTTTGTTGCTGTTATTGTTTTTCGTATTTTCTTGTTCCTAAGCCACCCTGGGATAGAGCCAGAGGCACATTAAATTTTCAACTCCCAACTTCTTTTTTCTGTCCATGAGGACAGAATAACTTTTAACAGATCATGGGTCATGTGGATACAATAAAAAAGAGTAAAAGAATAATCTTAAAGACCAAAGTCTTAAAATAGCCATGTCTAGTAGCAGAAAAATGATGGAGTCCATTTGCATCTCAAGGTGTGCTCCTGTGTATATTCCTGAACTATACCTGCTAATTTGGATTCAAATTCCATGTAAGATATGCGTAAAGGTTCTAAGATTTTAACCTGTGTATGTTTTTAATCAGTGATGTTTGTACAATTTGGAAATTGATTCTAGAGAGTGATTTTACCTTTCCTCCTCTGTTCTTGCCATGGTTGTCAACCTTTAAGATTTTTTTTTACATTGTGCTTATAAGTTAGTCTTCAAATTATTATACTTTCTGGTAACTATATATGTTTTCCAGACTTTTAATAACACATCATGAAATAATAAGCGTGGTGAAAAATTATGGACTAAAAGTCTCAGATTTCCCTAAATATGGGTCACTTTGCGGAGATACTCAGAAGGAAAAAAGTTCTGAATACAAAGAATTAAATTTAGTTCATTTAAATTTGTGGACTTAAAGTATCTATGGTGGCTCCTGCTTACTGGAGGTTCAATATAATATTGACAATGAATGAAAATTAAGAAAACTTCAGAAGACAGAGAAATTTTTAAAGAACAAATGTGTTATGTGGTAGCTACTGTTGTTGGATTCCGAGCACCTACACAGAACCCTTACCTATCACCTTCAGCTCCATGCTGGCCTCTTGGTAGACACCATCACTTTCAAACAGGCACCGGTACCACCCATCATCTGAAGCTCTGGCATTGTGGATCTGCAAGGTCAGCTTCCCTTCCTGGATGGCATCACTCACCAGTGAAGTTCTCCCTCTGTATTCTGACATCTGTTCTCCAGCCATGAGGTCCCCATTCACATGCACATAAACTGCAGGGTACCAAAGGGATCGGACCCACCTCACCTCCATGCCCTGGGCATTAGTCTTGGGGGACAGATAACAGGTTAATTGTATGTCTTCTCCCACTCGGACAGGGATGGGCTGAGAAGGTCCAATCACTTGTAAGGAAGCTGTTAAATAAGCAGATAACACACAATGGACGAATTAGAATGGAGTAAATAACACCATCAACAAGGCTGTCCCTCATGGGGTCTTGAACCCCATGCATCCTATGGCAGGTCAGAGGCTCAGGGTCACCCTTTGAGTAGATGAGCATCTCATGGGCTCAGGATACTGGTTAATCTTTGTTCAAGGAAGAACCTTCTCATGAGTCATGGCACTGTGAAAATCATAGGTTGTTGTGGGGTTATGCAAATATTCTGAATAAAGTGCTTAGACGATCATGATGGGTGAGCAAAAGAATGTTAGGGAGTGTGATATGAAGGCAGGGAAGCCATTCCCACTCTCTGATTTGATCTTAACCAACATTAAAATAAATGTCAGATACATTCAGTAAGAAAAATTGAAGAAAGTATACTCAAAGTATTGCCAAGTCAGGTCTAGTAACCGTGTTTTAGTTTTTTAAGGTTCTATGTTTGTGGAGTTATAAGGAAACACTAAGTTTAATATTCACAGGTAATCCTGAGGTACATTTTAAGTTATAGAATTAGGAGGTTGGCCAAGTACAAAACCCAGAACAATAATATAGGCGCACAGGAGTCTGTTCCTTCCTGGGGCACATAGCCCCTCTCTCTCTCTGCCAGCAGGGTAAGCTCAGTCTTTCCCTCTTGTTTTCTGTGGCCCCAGCAGTTGTCAAAGTTAGGGACACCACATCATGTGTTTTGTGACTTAGTCTCTGATGGACATGTTGAGTTGGCTCAGAGAGCTCAAAAGAGTGACTCCGCCTAAAATCTTCCTGAAGGATAGAGACCTGTGTCAACCTGGCCATTACACTGGCCTGGCTTCCTGACCTGTAAGCAGCAAGCTCTGCCACGAAGGTTTCTGTCCAGTCAGGCAGGTTTGCTGACCAGGTGGAAAGGGTCCCACTGGAAGGGTCAAGGCTCACAGGCTGCTTCTCCTGAGGGTGTGGAGTAGTCTTTGACCTTCATGAGGGCCTTCCCTGTATATTTATGGTTCAGTGAGTTCAAAGGTATCATGCTAGATTCTGGCAGAGAAGGAGTGTGGTTTTCATCCTGATTCTTTTAAAATCTCATCCATGAGCTGAAAGGTGTGATTAAGCTCACCCTCCCTCTACATTCCCTAACAGGTGACTTGCTGGACAAAAGGATGTGGATGAAGCAGGAATTTATCCAGCTTCAAGTGTGTCTGAGCAGGGAACAGGAGAGTTGTCCTGGGCTGGGAGAAAACCACTGGAGACAAGACAGAGGGAAGGTGGTAAAGGAGAAACTGAAAGGGCCTCAAACACCAGCTGGTTATTTTTTAAACTGCTTATCTTAGCACCATAAATCAATATCTAACAAAATATTAACCATCTAATGAAAAAGTGGGGCAAATAAATAAAACTAAATAAAAACCACACAAAGCTTGGGAGTTATCACACCCATGGCAAGATCCCAGGCTTTCCCCTGAAATAGCTTCCCTCTTGATGATAAAGTTAGGAGCGCACTGGGGTGAGAAGCAGGGACAGAATCTCTAAGGACCAGCTTGTGTAGGTAGTGAGGTGACCTCTGGAGAGCATCATGGCACTGCCCTCACAGGAGGGATGTTTTGAAGGAGCCTCCAGGACTTTCACACGTCCTGAAGGCAGCTCGCTTTCCTCTCTCCACACAGGCTGCAGAAGATGGCCATACCCCTTCATAGGTGCCCAGCGGAGTCCCTGTGACTCTCAGAGTGGCAAGACACATGCTGGGGAGAGCTCTGTAGAAAGCTGTGAAGATCTGTGCTCCTCCAGGCCCCACTTTTACTAACTTCGCACAGCACTTGGGAAAACACTGCCTCAGTTTCTCGTCTGGGTCAGGAAGTCTTCAGTAGGTGCTCCCACTCTACCCTTCTGTGGCGCAGGAGAGGCGCCACCTGGCTGCAGGCTGGAGTATGCTACTTACTTACCCATCTCAGTCTGCAGCTTCTCTGGAGGAGAAACAGGAAAAACACATTAGGATATCAGGTCTAAAGGAAAGGAGGGAAACTACTGAGAAATAACAGCAAGTTCTACATTTTACTGAAATAAGTTTAATTAAATATACGAAACACAGAAAAGTATTCTTTCCTGTAATGATTCAACTAGTGATATGGCTTTTTTTCTTTCTTCCAGCCCAATAAAAATGCTATTAGTTCTATTACCTAATAATATTGATTTTGCTGATATTTAACAATTATTTTAAAATGGTGCATATTCTACGTATGAGTGTATGGGAAGTATAAAAATGTGAACATAAGCAATTATGACCTATAAGTCTAAACTCAGATACATAATATCTGTTTTGTTTTTGTGTGTGTGTGCTACTGAGGATTGAACTGACAACCTTGTGCTTGCCAGGCAAGCTCTTGTGCCACTAAGCTAAGTCCCTAGGCCCATAATATCTGTTTTTGAATATTAATAGATAACATTTATTTTAAGTTTTTAATTTACCCATTTACACAAATAGTAGCAACATATCCAAATATAGAAAGTGTCCCAAGTCTTAGTCAACTTATAAGTTACTGGAAGCCTATAGTTTTTATATGACTCAAAATGAGTATTTGTAGATACACAGATAATTTTTACACTGAATAGTACGTCATGAAGAATTTTCTGCCAGTCAAATTATTCAAAAATACTTTTCATCAGTGATACAATTTTTAGTAACACAAGAAACTTTCCACTATGGTATGGAATCAGATCTGTTTGGTTATTGTTTTTATTGTTCTTTAAAATGAGGCAATAAATAAGATGCTGCTCCATTATATAAGTGGTTCTCTTCATCTCTGAATATCCTTACATGATGGACTGCAGGAAGTCCCTGGCATCACAAATCACAGGGAAGCATTTCTGTTAGAAGATTACATTCGCAACGACAATCATCATAGAGAGGAGAACCAGAGGTAGAGCACAATTGAAGCTAGTCAGAATGTCCCTACTTCTAGCTACGGATGTGTAATGGTTTTATGGTCATGTCTAACACGTTGCCAAAGGTCAGATGTTTTAACCTATAGCAAATATGAGCCACTGCTTAGCTCCCCCAAGCTCTCCAGCAGGCCTGTCACCCAAGCCACCCACAGCACACTGACCTGGGAGGTTGAGGACTGCCCCCTTCCCGTCCTCGAGGACAGGGTTGTGGATGAAGCAGGACACGGTCTCGGTCACTACAGAGACATTTCCAACCACGAGCATGTCTTCCACGCGGAACAGGCCATCTTCACCTAGGACGTGGTGCTCTGAGACCTCCAGCAGCCTCTCTCCCCATCTGTCCTCCCAGCGGACATGGGGCTCTGGGAACCAGCCTTCTGCAGTACACAGGAGCTCCACTCCACCTGACTGGTTCCCCGTGATATGGATCTGAGGGGCAGAACCCAGACCTACAGAAGAGAGGCACATTCCTGAGGCCCAGAGCCACCGAGGCGCAGCCACAGAGACTGAGGTCCTAGGGGTCTTGCTCAGAGAGGGAGGGGAGGGAACTCAGGGGTCCGAGGAGTGGAAGTGTTCCAGAGTTTCCTTCCCAGTGGAATCGGTGTGCTGATGCACTGTGCTTGATCTATAGTATCTCTAAATTTTAGCAAATGAGCACATTTCCCTTCAGATCCAGAGTGGGAGTAAGAGAGAAGGGAGAGATAGTATTTTGTTTATTTGTCTAGTACTCTAAACAAAGACGTTACCCATGAACCTTCTCTGAACTTCCCCTTTGCCCCTAGTTGTGTCTGTATCAGGCCATTTGTTCGATGTTTTGAGTGATACCCAGACTTCAACCAAATACTTCATATAGGCTCAGAAGTCACCTCCGCGGGGACTTTTCTTCCCATTTCTTTTGTTGGTGGTTGTAGTGCTGGAGCTCCTTCAATAAACTGCTTGAGGAGTTCTTGTATTTGAATGGTCCATTCAGTAGGGAAAATGCTTTTGAAAGAGCCATTTTGAAATCCTAAGTTAGTGCAATTTAAAGCCATAATTTTTTCCTCTCTTCAACACTACAACTCCCATGCTAAATGTTGTCTCTATCGTTTATGGAGAGAAAGAGACCCATCCCTCTACCTGGAGCCATAAACAAGTCTGCCATAATTTTAAACAGCCCTAATAGGGAAGTGCATCAGTTCCTCTTCCCCCGTGTCTCAGAAACACATAGGTATTTTCATCTGTGTGGAATCATCTTGAATATGGAAACCATCATTACAAGAGTTTAAAAAACTTTCCGAAGGAAAGAAAACAGCAGCCTTAGCCAGAGACATCATCTCCTGAAACCTTGCTTCCCTCGTGAGGAACTGGCTTTGCCTGTTTTCTCCTTGGCATGCAGCAGTGATTGTTGCCAGAAATCATGTTTTGATTTACTTTGCAGACACTGTACCGTGAGGCAGACCCCTCCCTCCCTTTCCCCTTTTCCTCTTCAAACCTTCCTGCTTTGCTAAATAACTGACTCTGTAGAGTTTTGCCACACCAAGGGGAGGCTTCCCAAAGCACCCCGGAGTCCTAGAATCACTGAGCATGGCACATAACAATCTCTAAGAAAGCAAGATGCTCCTCACTGCTTCAGTCTCATCACTAGAGTCCCAGCAATGGGCATCACAGGAAGCAACGAAGTTTTGCATCTCAGGTTCTGCAGGTGGGTTCCACTAAGCCAGGTGCTGGGCAGCCAGCTGGACTCACTCAGCAGCCAACTTGCTCTCACACACCAGGTTTTTATGGCAAAAATTTGTGTTCTGGCAAAATTACTGATGTTACATGACATATCTCATGCCATGGCTTCCAGATAATCCATAATGATGGTCAAAATTATGCAAGTTAAATTTGGGGAAATACCTTATAAGGGAGCTTCCTCCAAAGATTTCAGAACCACCTATTTTGAAGTGACTCAGAAAAAGGGAGTGAACATTATAGTTGCCTTGATAATGGAAAGGCAATTCTGACCCCAAATTAATCTCCTCCTTTCTCTGAGACTCTTATTATGTCTTTGCCAAGGTAGTCACCTGCTACTTGGAGCAGCAAGCTTGTCTCTCCGAAGTAGTCCCGGTCCTGGAAACGGCACCAGTACTGCCCACTGTCAGACGGCTGGACGCTGCGTATCTTGAGAGTCACGCTGCCTTCTGCGACGCCGTCCTCTAGCATCTCTAACCGTCCTCTGCACTCCTGTACCTGCACCTCGACCATGTCAGTCCCACCCTGGGGTGCAGTCACAGCCGCACGGGGCTCTGAACGGTACCACAGCACCTCCATGTGTGCAGCGCTCCTCTTGGGGAGGAGCCGGCAGGTCAGCAGGGCATCCTCTCCAACCCTGGCCAGGATAGGACCCTCAGGGCCGAGCACTCTGAAGTCATCTGCAAGACAGGAGAGAGACAGAGAGACAGAGAGAGAGACAGACAGACAGACAGAGACACAGAGAGACAGAGAGAAACAGAAAGAGAGAGAGACCGAGAGACAGAGAGAGAGGAAGAGGGAGAGAGGGAGGGAAGGAGTGAGGAAGCAAGCAAAAGAGAGAGAGAGAGAGAGAGAGAGAGAGAGAGAGAGAGGAGTCAGAGACAGAGACAGAGGCCAAAAGTGTAGTGTGTTAGAATGAGGCACCTGGAGAAGGGAGAGCTTTACTTGAAAGTTTCAGAGAAATTGATCATGATATGCACACTTTTGTTGAGGAAAGAATCACTTTGTATTTTAAATAAAAGCAATGAAAAAGTCTGCACCCACATGCCAAAATGTCACTTAGCTTTGTCATTTGGACATGAACCTATTACTCTCAATGAAGTTTGGAGTTTGGAATCTTAATTTCATCTTTAAGATAGTAAAACCACCATCTCTGGGTTGTTTCTTTTCTCAAATAAACTAAAAAATTTATTTTACAGTTACAAACTTTGTGGTAGTGGTTAACATGTTAATCATTTTCCTAGAATTTGTGCAATACGTTCATTTGTTAGATTTTCAGCTCCTCAGGATCACTCTTGTCCTGGGTAAAGGACTAAGAATCTTTTCCCCTGGAGAGATTTAATCCCTCAATTATTGGGATTATGCATAGTGCAGTTTTCATATTTTTATTGAATTAAGGGCTGTGGTTTGTCCAGAGAGTTTGAGTGTGAAGTCATGTGTAACATCTGTCCTTATTTAAAACTGGAAATACTTCATAATTCCTCATGTTATCATGTTTAACAGCTTCATGTGTAGCATCTGTCATGTCCTGTGCTGTCTCATTCTAAATGCTTTAGGCCCAATCGGTGTGCAGAGGAGGAGCTGGGCAGATCTGAGGTGCCTTCATCGGCCTCTCTGTGTGTCTGGAGGACTGTGGATATCTCGGCCCAGACTGTTTGGGTCTCTCCAGGCTACCAGGTGCAGTGAAGGGGAGAGGTGGGTTTGAGGCCTCTACATCTGCCTCCCCATCCCAGTTGCACTTGGAGAACTGCTGAGCTCCCGACGGGTGGGCGGGCCCACACTATCCCAGGGGCCCAGCCTGTTTTGTTGGCACGCCTAGCCATCAGTGTACAGAGGAGGAGCTGGGAGGATCTGCGGTGCCTGCATCGGCCTCTCCATGTGTCTGGAGGACTGTGGATATCTCTGCAACCAGGGAGGGTCCACCGGTTCCTGAAGCACTGCGGCCTGTGGTGAGTACCCTAACCCGGATGCAATTGAAGAGCTGTGAAGCTTCCAAGGGGCAGGTGGGCGCACAGTGTCCCTGAGGCCCAGCTTGTCTGGAACTGCGGAGTTCTGAGCAGGCAGAGGAGGGCCACTGGTTCTACAGGCCCAATGGCTTGGGGTAGCATGGTGCCAGAGTCTCAGTAGCGGCAAACATAGAAGGGGATTTTCAACAGATCCTGAGGAAGCTTTCAAATAACACTTGAAACACAAAAACGTAGGAAAATGACAAAATGAAAGACCAAATTACAACCTCAAACCTCCAGCCCATGTCAAGAAACCCTAGGAGCAATGTATATAGAAGAAAATATATGCCATACACCTCAAATATCGGACACAATAGCTACTGAAATTGACAAGCAACTCCAGGAAGCTTTAAAGAAATTCAAACTCGAAATAATCTCCCAGAAAAAAGAAGAAATGATAAAAGAAATGAAAGAGATTCTGAATATATCTAAAGAAAACACAGATAAAAAATTGGAGGAACTAAACAAAAAGATAGAATCCCTAGACAAGCAATATAAGAAACAAAGAGAATACATAATGCAGATTCACAGAGATACACAGGAAATAAAAAACTCCACTGAAAGTTGTAAAAACCACCTTAATGAAAGTGAAGATAGAATTTCAGACCTTGAAGACAGGATTGCAGCTAGTGAACAGGAAAGGAAAGATCTTTTAAAAATAACAAGGAATAAGGAAACAACAATTCAACAACTGCAAGACAATGCAAAGAAAAATAACATAAGAATGATAGGGATTAATGAAAAAGAAGGAGACAACATAAAGGATGTCAAGAGGATATTTAGAGAAGTAATAGATGAAAATTTCCCAAGCATGAGATCAGAAACCGACATCAGGATCCGTGAAGCATATAGAACTCCAAATAGTCATAACAAAAAAAAAGAAAAAATACACCCAGACATATAATAACCACCATCCCAAAAATCCAACACAAGAATAGATTATTAAAAGGTGTCAGAGAGAAAAGACAGATCACTTATAAAGGAAAACCTATCAGAATCACAGCAGACTTCTCAGCACAAATGATAAAGTCAAGAAGAGCCTGGAGTGAAGTATTCCAGATCCTAAAGCAAAATGATTTCCAACCTAGACTGATATATCCTGCAAAACTATCATTCAAAATAGATGGTGAAATACGATACTTCCATGACAAAGAACAGCTGAAGAACTTCATGAACACCAAACCAACCCTGCAAAAAATATTGAAAGACAGTTTAGATACACAAAGGAAAAAACCACTAAGCAAAGCAAAAAATTAAACAGAACAGAAAGATAAAGATGCAACAGCAGAGAGATAACATTCCTACAATTAACCAGCATTTAACAGTAATAACCATTAATGTAAATGGTCTCAATGCACCAATCAAAAGAAACAGACTAGCAGAATGGATCAAGAAACAAAATCCAACCATATGCTGTTTACAGGAAACCCATCTAACCCAGAAGGATACTCAAAGAATGAAAGTCAAAGGATGGAAAACAATTCTTCATGCAGCAGGAATCCAAAAAAAGGCAGGAGTAGCCATTCTGTTTGCAGACAATGTGAACTTTAAACCAACAATGACCATAAAGGACAAAGAAGGTCACTACATACTTGTAAGGGGAAAACTCCAAGAGGAAGAGATAACTATCTTAAATATATATGCACCAAACTCCAGAGCACCCAGTTATATAAAACAATTATTAACAGAAATGAAAAAAATTATCAGTAACACAGTTGTAACAGGAGACCTCAATACGCCATTGACACCAAGGGACAGATCAACCAGACAGAAAATGAGCAAAGAAATAACAGAACTGAATCACACCTGTGAACAAATGGGTTTGATAGACATATACAGAATGTTCCACCCAACAACATCAGAATACACATTCTTCTCAGCAGTACATGGATCATTCTCTAAAATAGAACATATATTAGCTCACAGAACATATTTAAACAAATGCAAAAGAGTTGAAATCATCCCTTGCATGTTATCGGATCATAGCACTCTGAAATTAGAAATTAATGATAAAAGATATTGCAAAAATCCCGCAAACACATGGAAACTGAATAACACACTCTTGAGTAATCAGTGGGCCACAGAAGAAATTAAAGAAGAAATTAAACAATACCTAAAAGAAAATGAAAATGCAGATACAACTTACCGGAATCTGTGGGATGCAATGAAAGCTGTCCTGAGAGGAAAATTTATTGCACTGAGTTCCCACATCAGGAAAACAGAATGAATACAAATAAATAACTTGATGCTACACCTCAAACAGCTAGAAAAAGAAGAGAAAGTCAAGCCCAAAGCCAAAAGAAGAGAGGAAATTATAAAAATCAGAGCAGAAATCAATGCAATAGAGACTAAGAAAACAATCCAAAGAATCAACGAATCAAAGAGTGGGTTCTTTGAAAGAATAAATAAAATCAATAAGCCCCTAGCCAACCTTATTTAAAAAAGGGAAGAAAAAACTCAAATTCATGCAATAAGAAATGAAAAAGGAGAAATCACTACAGACCCAATAGAAATACAGAAGATCATCAACACCTATTTCCGAAACCTCTGCTCTCAAAAGTTTGATAACACAGAAGAAATAGACAGATTCTTAGAAGCATATGAAGTACCAAAGCTAGATCAAGAGGATGTAAAACTGTTGAATAACCCAATCTCTGTTACTGAAATTGAAAATGTAATTAAGTCCTTACCCACCAAGAAGAGCCCAGGCCCAGATGGATTCACTGCAGAATTCTACAAGAAATACAAAGAAGACCTAATGCCGACACTCCTCAAACTATTCAATGAAATTGAAAGGGAAGCAATCCTTCCTAAGTCATTCCTGGAAGCAAATATTACTCTAGTACCAAAACCTGAGAAAGACCCAACTAAAAAAGAGAACTATAGACTGATCTCCCTAATAAACACAGATGCAAAAATCCTCAATAAAATATTGGCAAACAGGATCCAGCAAATCATCAAGAAGATTATACACCATGACCAAGTGGGATTCATCCCAGGAATGCAAGGATGGTTCAACATACGCAAATCAATAAATGTAATCCACCATATCAATAAAGCCAAAAATAAGAATCACATGATCATTTCTATAGATGCAGAAAAAGCCTTCGATAAGCTCCAACATTTATTCATGATAAAAACTCTACAGAAAATTGGAATAGATGGTCTTTAACTCAATATAATAAAGACCATTTATGACAAACCAACAGCCAGATTCATACTAAATGGCCAAAAATTGAAAGCCTTTACTTTAAAATCGGGCACAAGACAAGGATGTCCTTTATCACCACTCCTATTTAATATAGTACTGGAAGTACTAGCCAGAGCAATTAGGCAAGAAAGAGAAATAAAAGGGGTAAAGATAGGAAAAGAAGAAGTTAAATTATCATTGTTTGCAGATGACATGATACTCTACATAAAAGACCCCCTAAACTCCATTGAAAGACTCTTAGATACAATAAATCAATTCAGTAATGTGGCTGGATACAAAATCAATACTCAGAAATCAATAGCATTCCTATACACGAACAACAAAATCACAGAGAGGGAAATAAGAGAAACTGGACTATTCACATTAGCAACCAAAAAAGTGAAATATTTAGGAATTACTCTTATGAAAGAAGTGAAAGACTTATACAGTGAAAATTATAATACACTGAAAAAGGAAATTGAAGATGATCTCAGAAAATGGAAAGACATCCCTTGCTCATGGATAGGAAGAACAAACATTGTGCAGATGGCCATTCTCCCAAAACTGTTGTACAGATTCAATGCAATCCCAATAGAAATACCATCAACATACCTTATAGATCTAGAGAAATCACTCCTAAATTTCATCTGGAACCAGAAGAGACCTAGAATTGCAAAGGCAATTCTAAGCAGCAAAGACAAAGCAGGAGGCATCACAATCCCTGACTTGAAGTTATACTACAAAGCAACAGTAGTAAAATCAACATGATATTGGAATCAAAACAGAACCAAAGATCAATGGAATAGATTAGAAGATACAACCACAACTACAAACAAACTCAACCACCTTATCTTTGATAAAGGAGCCAAGCAGGTTCACTGGAAGCACGACAGTCTCTTTAATAAATGGTGCTGGAAAAACTGGCTCTCCATTTGCCGAAAACTAAAGCTAGACCCATGTCTATCACCATGTACTAAATTAAAATCTAAATGGGTCAAAGATCTGAATATTAAAACAGAAACACTAAATCTATTGGAAGACAAATTGGGTGGAAACCTTGGAGACAGGAGTAGGTAAAGAATTCATGAACAGGACTCAAACCGCACAGGAAATACTTCCCAGAATCAATAACTGGGACCACTTCTTATTAAAAAGTTTCTGCATGTCAAAAGAAATCTCCAGCATAATGAAAAGAAAACCCACAAACCGGAAAAAGATTTTAGTGAACTCTCTCTCAGACAAGGGACTCTTGTCTAAAACATATAAAGAATTAAAAAAACTCAGACCTCCAAAATTCAAAGATCCAATCCACAAATGGGCATCTGAGATGAATACGCAATTCTCAGATGAAGAAATGCAAATGGCAAATAAATACATGAAAAAATGCTCATCATCATTGGTCATTACAGAAATGCAAATTAAAACCACACTGAGATACCATCTCACTCCTGAAAGAATGGCCAGGATCAAGAAAACCAACAACAAATGCTGGAGAGGCTGTGGGGAAAAAGGAACTCTCCTGCACTGTTGGTGGGAGTGTAGACTGGTACAGCCTTTGTGGAGATCTGTCTGGAGATTTCTCAAAAAGTTGGGATTGGAAATCCCATTTATTCCAGCTATTCCACTTCTAGGCATATTCCCAGAAGAACTGAAAGCATCATACCACAGTGATATATGTGCACCTATGTTTACAGCAGCACAATTTGTAATCGCCAGATCTTGGAAACAACCCAAGTGTCCATCAACTGAGGAATGGATAAAAAAGTTGTGGTATTTCTATACAATGGAGTATTATTCAGCTATAAAGAAGGATCACTTTGAGCTATTTATCAATAAATGGGCGCAGCTTGAGACCATACTCATAAGTGAAATAAATCAATCTCGCATGTGTGAATACCGAATAGTTTCCCTAATGTAAGTAATGATTCAAATATATAAAAATATGTGGTAATCATGATTCCCCATTAGGTGGCCTTGAAGCCTTATAAAGTTTTCACTCATTAATTAGAAAGGCTTTATTCTGGGCTTCTTGATATGGAAATATTTGAAGCTAGAGTATATGAAGTTTTATCCAAATATTTCAAGGAAAAAGACAGACACTATGGTAACTACTATTAAGTCGGGTTGTTTGGTGGTGAAGCACTAGGTTGCTGGAACAGTCATGCTTTGACCTCTATTGTTATATTGTTATGTCCTGTTTTATCTCAATCTCCCCCTTATTCTTTAAAAAAATTATTTAGTTATTTCTTATGTTTGTTTTAATTAAGGGAAAAAATTAAAAAATTAGGATATATAATAGTAACTTTTTGGTTTCCTATTAACTCGTTTTGAAGTCCTGTAATACTCCCAATATCTTGTTTCGACTGATTAGACTCTGTTTCATTCTGTATGATAGTATCAAGTTTGAGGGTATAGGCAACTACTTTGAAGGCAATAAGATTCACTAAGATGCCCATTCTGGTTTGACAATTGTCTCCTTTGGAAGTCCTGTAATGTTTACAATGCCTCAGTTTTATTGGTCTTGTTCTCTACTGTTTTGTCCAACTTTATAATACCTAATGAGATAGACAATTCTTTTTAAGGAAAAAAGGGACAACGTTGATAACCATTGTTAATAACCTTGTACTCTGTTCTACATCATGTGCTATGTCTATCCTTGGTTTTGATTGACAGCTTTGTTTTGCCATATTTGACTGTATTCTCTCCCCCCCAAAAAAAGTAATAAGAACTAAGGAGTAATAAAATCCAAAATGTGTAAATTTTGTTGTAAAAAAGAGAGGGGGAAAAAAAAGAGCTCTAACGGATATAACAGCAAGTGTGTTTAGGGGTGTTAAATAGCTGACTATATTAATGTTTTTGGATCACTGAACACAGCTGTTTGCAGTCTCCCTGTTTGAATGTCCACTTTGTATTCTTTGATACTGTGATTTGAGCAACTATTTTCAAGATGATAATAACAGGTGATTTCTTACTGTTATGTTGTTGTTGTTGTTGTTTTGTAGTTCTGTATTACGTGTACCCTTACACCGCTTTGTTTTGTTTTGTGTTTTTCTCTTTTTCCTCTTAAATAAAATTTAAAAATAAATAAATAAATAAATGCTTTAGGCCCATTTTTGTTTCCTCTTTGCACATTTCAGTCCTCTGGAGACATTTTGCTTAGTTGCTGCTCAATATAAATCTGCTCAATAAATATAATTGCTGCTCAATAAATATCTATAAAACCTGAACAAAAGCCCGCTCCATTCCTCAGTGGCTAAGCCTGAACGCACAGTCAGTCACAAGGTCTGGCAGACTTCTTCGGAAGTTTAGGGACCTGCAGAGAGGTGGCCGGAGCCTCAGTGCATCTCAGTTCCTGCAGTGTTGGATCTGGAACCTGTGGGACCCTCTCCCACTTGCTTCCTGATGCCCTGCCCAGTGCTTTTCTCTAGTTTTCCAGGCTGCACTTTCCTTGGAGCTCTACTATTCCCCTCCCATAATGAATTTTTGTGATCCTCTCCCAAGACACAACGTATTGTCTGATTAAACTCAGCTACTAAGGTTTCCAGTTCCACTTCTTGGAAGCATGCCTCTAGTTACTCATTGCCATGGTAGGAAGTAGCTGCTGTTCTCCTGTGTGCAGTCTAGAGACTGCATGACAACCTCCACGTCCTCCCTCCACTGAGCCCAGTGATCCTATGTAATGTCACTGCCTCTTAAATCCTGTGTCACTGACGAGGCACAGTTACTGTTACTACTGTCATCACAAGAAGAAGAAATGAAAGAGCTAGAGGCTTTAATAATGACCCAGCAGTGACAGAGCTGTGAGTGGGAATCCCTTTTGGACCACGGGCACTTGGGCCACAGGACCTACACTCTTAAATACGGCGCTAGCCCCTCTGAGGTGAGATTGGTGCACCACTGGGTTCACTAGGACATTTCAATATGCGGTGAAATGAAGATCCTACCTTGTTGCTTCACAGTCAGCAGGATCAAGAAGCAGGAGGCAATCATGCCAGAGAGACTGTACCCTGGAAATTCCACCATCCTCCCTGGGGCACACACAAAGAATAAAATGTAGTTGCCTGAGTGAGGCTATGCTGTGGTTTCCAGAGCTGTTAGGTCATAGTAAGAAATCAACGTCGATCTCTTCACTGAAGAGACGATGGCTCTATCTGTGCACCGGCCTGTTCCTCTTGGCCCATTTCCCCACCTTCCCATGGCCACCACTCACCAATCACTCAGTTTACTCATGTGCCTTTCCCGAGGGGGTGCTGGGCCTTCTCCTCACTTGGTCTCAGGAATCTCCCTCATCCACGCGGCAGGTGTTCCAAAGGAGATCAAAGTCCTGACATGGGCTTGCCTAGACAAACAGCAGCAAGGGCGGAGGTGGCCTTGGTTTCCTGGAGCACCCGGTGAAGGGGGCTGGAGGCAGAGCAGATCCCCGGGCTCTCTCAGGAGACTCCAACCAGGTAGGCAGCGCACGCACCTCCTGACAGCTACAGGACTCTCAAAAGTGAAGCGTAGAGGACAAATGAACTTTGACTGGGTTCTGTCCTTGGGAGTTGCTTAGACCTGCAGATACTACTGTGTCATTGGCACCCTCACTCTCCCTGGAGAGCTACAGTGCATGCCAGGTCCCTGCTCCATACCCTGCCTGTGCCAGTAAGACCCTCATGCAGACCTCCTATGCACCCTGGTGGTGCCTCAGGCTGTGTCTTCATGCTGATTTCCACCTGCTTCATGTCAAACATTCCACGCCGAGGGTCAGGATTCCTCCAGAAATTGGTGCCCACGGGGCTGCCGAGCTGGTAGCAAGATTGAAGATCCAATACCCCACCTCCTAGTCTACTGAGGAGGAAGTGAGAGTTCCAGACAGGAAGTGCCTCTCCCAGGTCAGGAGCTCAGGTCAAGGTTCCTGGGGATACTTTTGTGGCTCTATTTACTTTGGTTTTTATCTCCTCTAGTTGGATCTAAATGGTTTGATTATTCTCAGATAGAGAAGTTTGATTGGCTTCTCAACATAATTTCTGAGCACGAACAGTGAGATGACAAAGGTTCTGGGCCCCTTTGTGTGTGCTCTTGCTTCAGTCAGGTTCTCCTTTGCATTCACCCACTGGAAGTCCATTTTACTTGAATCTGAGGGTCTGTAGATACGTACTCAAGGTTCAAGAATTCTCCAGAATATTGTGCAACTCAATTTGAGATTTTCAGTTCAATTTAATAGCATAAGTACATAAAGCATCACAGTAAGTTTTTATTTGCCCAAAGGTTTCTTTCCTTCTGCTGTTTCAAACAGCCCCTCCTTGGCCCCCTAATGTGAGGTACTTGTTCTCCCTGTAAGGATTTCTTCCTCTCTCCTTCTGTCTAGAAAGGACACTCCTCATGATGGAGGATGAGGGGTTTGCAGAGGAGAGAAAAATAGTTCTACATTAACAAGAGCATGGGGACCTGTAACCTTTTCTCCCTCAGGTAGAAGTCAGGTTCTGCTCCCTCCTTGGCCCCTGGCTCTCTGGAGGCAGTGGTGCCCTCAGACTCCTCTTCAGCAGTGAGGAGAGAGTAAGGAGACAGGAGGAGGTGGTCCTGGAAGACGCAAATATTGAAGTGAAAGTTTGCTGCCTGAAATGCTGGCAGGGAGTATTGTGGCAAGAGGAGGGTAGCCTTTCAGACTCAGTAGTCATCATATGTGGACAACAGGGAGCATGATGTGACCAGGACACGCCTTGGGGTTGGTGCAGGACACATGAGGAGGGTCTCCCACGCCACCCTGCAGGGTTTGCTTCCATAGGACTTCGAACCAGCGAGCAGGAGCTGGGCACCTTTTAAGTGAGCACTGCGAATGTCTCCAAATTTACCTGGAAAGTGCAAAATTAATTCTGCTGCTCTAAGACTTCATGGTTTTTGACATAAAAATTAAAATAAGTAATATAAAAATAGATTAATTTTCTCTTTTTTTGTCTTTTTTTTTCTTTTTATCGGTACCAGGGATCGAACTCATGACTGCCTGCTTGCAAGGCAGGCGCTTATGCCGCTGAGCTAAATCCCCAGCCCCAAAAATAGATTAATTTTCACATAAGAATCTGTGGTGTGGAAACACTGCCCTTTTCACACTTTTTTTTTTTTTTTGCCACACAGTGCAAGGATTCTTCCAGACTCTCCTTTGTCCACCTTTGAATTTATTTCTATGGTCCATCATGTGGGCAAGAAGCTTCATGTAAACTAGCGTGTGTGTTTCCCCCCACAAACCATTTGTGCACCTTATCAAAGGCCCGCCATGTTTTTTGGGGGGATACTGGTAATCAAACTCAGGACCTCGAGTTTATCAGGCAGGTGCTTGCACCTGCTGGGCTATATCCCTGGCCTCTATGTTTGCCAATTTTGAAATGAGACCTTGTCCTAAACTATGCTACTGCTATGGGTGAATGTTCAGTGTCGACACCCTGTTGGATACAGACGACAGAAAGAAGACACACCTCTTTGCCATGCTGATTAAAATCGACCTCCTGGAGCCGCAAGGTGGACAAACTCTCCTAGCTGGAGCTGGGGAAAAAGGACGCTCCTGGGCAGACCAAGAGGAAACCTGGAGGGATGGAGGACCTGCGTGACCACCTCGACCACCGGAGGGCAGCAGAGTCACCACACCCTTGAGCCCAGGGGCCAGGATCCCCTCAGTAATGAGTTTTTTTCATAAGCCACTACAGCAGTGACCCACACTCACGACTCCTTCAGTCACTGAGTGATAAAAATATAGGGTGCCTGATTATTGGTTCAAAGTTTTCCATGAATTTGGGAAAAGTTTTCTAGGATAAATCAGTTGATTCTTTAGTCTCAGTCCACTGTGTAAATACTGGGGTAAAGGCCCCCTCCCAGGAGCCTTTAAAAGGCAGAATGAGAATGTAGACAGGATAAAAAATATTTGGTTGCTGGGTGTGCTGCTCTGAGAGTGGACAAGCTTAGAAAGAAAGGATTGTTTCTCTCTCTGCAGGGGAGAAGGGTGACACATCCTGCCCGGCCCCACCTCGGCCTTTGGGCTGCCAGGAGGATGCTCACAGGTGGAGGTGGCCTTTTCTTCTGAGCCTTTACCATCACGGAGCGGGCATCTCCTTCACCTCCCTCCTCTCCCATCAACATTTATGCCCCAGAACCCCACAGACTGATTCTGTCATTGTTCAAAAGATCTCTGGCCCTGACAGACTGTTTAAAGCCATATTCCTGAGAGACCATTAGGGACCAGGAGGGCACTGGGAGAGGAGAGGAGAGAGGGGAGAAGAGCGGGGAAGGGGGTTAGGGGGCTGAAAACAATTAAGGTACCATACATGTACATGCGCACCTGAAGATGTTGAAACACAACCCATTGTTCCGTGTAACTGATGCACAGTTGAAAAAGTAAAATTAAAAATGAAAATGCATCTTGGGGGCTTATTTCTCTTGCAGTGGTTTCTGGAACAGGATAGGAGTTAGCCTGCTTTCAGGGAGAGGATGGTTCTGTCTCTCCAGGGTTAACATTTGAGCCTGAAATCCCAGGTCAGCTTGGCCTTTACAGGGTCGGTCAGTGATGGGTAGAGGAGAGCCTAGAGGAGCTGTACGCACAGCCAGGCAGGAAACCTGGGGAGCTGGAGCAGGGCAGTAACTGTGACCCAGAGAGATTGCGCCCAGCCTGAAGGTCAGCCTGAGCACCAGCTCCAGCCCCTACAGATAGAAAGAAGTCGCTCACCCAGACTAGGTTGGAGGTGCCTCAGCGGGTTCTCCAAAATGGGGGATACTGGAATAAACCGTGCAGAAGAGTCCGAATTCTCCTGGCGCCTCTCAACTCACTCCTTCCCGGGTGTGGCCCTGGGCCCAGTGTGTGGCCCTGGCATGGAACCAGCTCCTGCTCTTGAGAAGTGCAGGAATTGGGGCTCTGAGGATGTGCTTTCAAATCAAAGGGAAGCACAGATTGCCATCTGGCCAAAGCCAGGGAGAAAACGAGCCAGGAAGAGAGATCCATGGAGCCAGGAGTCAGCAAAGGAGAGCAAGACCGTGATTCCCGAAGTCCTTGTCATTAAAGCAGAGCAACTGTAATCTCAACAAGTCTCATGCTGACGCTCTTGGAAGAGAGTTGTCACCAGAAGTCCACAAAAAGAAAAACAGTAAGAGATAGACTTCTCAGTGGTGAGGCTTGAAGCAAATGCTTGTGGGAAGGCCAGGACAATGCCTGGCTCAGGGAGCCCCCAGCCTGATGCTGAACCCAAAAAGTACAGGACACAGCAGCTCCTCTGAAATGTTCAACTTTTACAATTTACGAATTTTAAATTTTACTCTTACGGAACAGTTACAAAAGTATATGATCAGTAAGTACTGTCCAGTTTTTGAAAGTAATAATATTGTAAAACTGATTTTACCCCAGTTTTTACCCATGAAGCAGTGAAACACAGGTCGATCCACCAGAAAAGCCGTGCTGTCACCACACGGGCCGGGCCGGAGCAGGGGGGCGGGGGTGTCAGGCCCCCAGAAGCCAGGGGACCTGCACTCATGGTGAGAGCGATTCTTCCCATCCCTGCAGCATTCGAACTCACATCTGGCCATCTACACCGAGGGACACACTGTCCTGGGCAGGGACCTTCCTGGAGCTCACCTGGCTGTGACTCACCAGCTAATCAGCCAAACCATCCCCTGCACCCTCAGCCCCTCCAGGATCCGCCCCATCCCCTACCGGCCGGCCCTGTGCTGTCCCCTGAGCCCATCATTTCAGCCTGCGGTGTCACAGGGAAGAATCGTCCCTCGCGCCATCCCAGGTCAGGAAAACGCTCTGTAAGAGGACCAAGTACAAGAAACGTGGGTTTCAACAGTGATGCAGAGAGATTTAGGCCTGCCTCACACGTGAAATAAGAAGGCCTTCTGAAGGTGGAACAAATGGATTAAAAATAAAATTGCAGCAACTTGGGGCCCCTACATTTGACCCCGGTTGTTTCTCTGTGCCCTCCTCTCCTGCGGTCCTGGACCTCACCCCTGGGGAGCCGGCTCCTCCCAACGGGCCGGCTGCAATTCCGTGTCTGGCCACCAGAGGGCAAATTTGTCCATGAGTGCGCTTGGCTTTCTGAAAATCAGACTCTAGAATTAGGGAACGGTCCAGTGTGTCCCAAATCTTAACTTCCAATCTCTTCCTTTCTGAAATTGTTCTTATATTTTTTGCATAAAACTCAGTTAAGAGACAGCAGAAGAAAGGAGTAGAAAAACGGCTGCTGACACCCAAAATGCTGCAACCTCCTAGGGGAATTTCCCTGTGGAAACCACCCCAACTGGGAGAAAATGACAGAGTGGGGTGGGGAGGTGGGGGAGGGAGAGAGGCTGGGGGGGTGCGGGAGGGGAGGTGAGAAGGAGGGGAAACAGCCCAACTTTTTAGTTTAAATTCATTACTGTCATGTTTCCTTCCAAGTATTCCTAAGGAAACACGCTTGAAAAAATTAAAAATCCTGCTTTCAAAGTCATCTGCGGTTTTAGGAGCAGAAACCACGGCCTTTGGAAGTATGTTCTAGTGACTATGAGGAAGTCAAAAAACTTCGTGAAGGGAAAGTGAATGCAGTGTAACACCAGGGATGGCTGGTTCATCTCTCATTTGGGGATACGGGGGTAGGAGGTGGGAACGTTATCGGGCACAGGACACTTTCAAACTTAGGGGAGAGTGTACTGGAGACACTTAGAGAACAAAGAATAAAGGATTAAGAGAGAGGAAGAAAGCTGTGCCATAAAGAATAGTTTCACCACTTAATATAAACTGGAGTAAGGAAATAATTTGTAACTGATCGTGATCGTATATAAACCATTTAAACGATTGTGATTTAATATAAAATTATAATTTTTGTCTTCCATCTTCAAAAATCAAGCTGACTTTATATTTCAAATTAATATCATTTAACGCAAAATACCTCAAGAATCTGAGAAAAGGCAATGGAGTTAGAGGCATCACAATGCCTTTAGTTTAAAGCATACTACAGAGGCATGGTAAGCAAGCATATTCATTCAAAAGTCTGTATAGACAAATGGAACAGACCAGTCTCTGAAGTAAACCTACGCATCTACAGCCATTTGACTTTTACCAAAGTTGTCAAAAGCGTGTGTGAGAGAAAGGACAGGGTTCTCCGCAAATGATGCTGGTGGAACCAGATCTGCAGCTCCGAGCAAAACCTGACTTTGTCTCTCACCCTGCCAAAAGGGATCAGTTCAAAGTGGGTCCGAGACCTAAAGACAAGATTAAAACTTCTGAAAGTACTAGAAGAAAGCACAGCAGAATAACTTTAAGCCGTTGGAAAAGATTTTCACAAAAGTGCATCTGAATTCTGTGAAATCATTCAGCCAGGATGTGCCCACACTTAGACCTCAGGCCATAGAAGATGATGTTTAAGGGTCCTCATCTGTGCTCTGTCTTATATGAAGGGCGCATAAAACCATTCCTTAGTCCTCAGAGTGGCCAAAAGAGCATTCCCAGGTAAAGATATGCACTTTTTTGGAAAATGGGAACAATTTTGCATTAGAATGTTCTGTATCCCAGTTTGTATTACCCGTGCTGGTTTTGGAGTGCGGAGATGACCTTAAGGGAGCTCTACCACTGAGCTACATCACTAGTCCCTTTTTATTTAATGTCTTTCATTCTGAGGCAGGTTTTCTCTGAGTAATCTAGGCTGCACTTAAACTGATCCTCCCGCCTCAGCCTCCTTAAGTGCTGGATTACAGGTTTGTGCCACTGTGCCTGGCTGACCATCCGTGTCTTTGTGACATCGGGTTTCAAGTGCGGGTAGACAGAGAACACCTCAGATTCTCACCCTATCAGTGTTCCAGGTTAAGGATGAACCCGGTCATTAGGAGGCCTCGGCTTATGCAGGGAACGCATGACCTGCGCACTGGCAGAGCTGCTGGTGTCTGCAGTTGCCTTCTGTGGATTAGATGCCTCTACCTCTTAGGACAAGGAGAAGTAACACAGAATGAGAAGAGCAGCTTTGGGGACTCTGGGAGGAAAGGCCTGGGGATATTCCCTAGGATCTCTGGTGGAAATCCTTGACAGGAGAGCACCATGAAGGCCCTGAATCCAGCGGGGAGCAGGGGGCAGGGGAAGGGAAGCTGAAACAGGGGGCTGGGAGAACCTCAGAACTTGAATCACACAAACATAAGAAGTACCCAGCTCCCAGAATCCTACCCTGGTTCCTGGAAGGAGAATTTCCTCACATTGTGGGAGAATCAGGATGAGGTGTTGGAGAGACAGTTTAGAGATACAGCTGATAAGTGGATAAACAGACAATTATATGCATTTCCATTTTTATAAAATTCCCATTTACTTCTAAGGCCCTAATTGTATCTTGGCAAAAAGAAGCAAGAATATTTGTATCTCCTTGGTTTTCCTTGCTCCCAGTTTCTGAGCATGCATTTTCCCAGGAGACTCAATGTTACAATATTAGGGACACAGAGCTAGGATGAAGTTATCTTGTAAGGTGGACAGGAGGGTTCCAGAGATGCGAGCGTTAGCAGGAGAAGGCACGAGTGATGTCCATGGCAGATGGTCCATGCCCAGAGGGTGCAAAGGAAGCTGCCCTGAGTGGGGGCATCCCACAGGCTCCTGACTTCCTGAAGTTAAAGGTCTGCACTGCCTCATGCTCTCCAAGACTTCCTCATGGTTTTAAGGTGTGGTTCCAATCCCTTACAGTAGATTCAATTCTTGTAGAACGTTTGTAGGGACTCCCATTTCCCCACTGAACTCGGACTGGTGCGGTTGTTGCAACATCAAGGAGATGTCAGGTATTTTCAGAAATCTCCTCAAACGCACAGGAAGCTAGAGTTTGGGAGAGCAGGAACCTATGAGACCTGCAAACTTATCATACACAGCAGGGGAACTGAAAGTTTTTTCTAAGTTTTCCCAAATTTAGCAATCTGGACACAAACTTACAAAGTACTGAGATGTCTGGGCAGAACCAGTTGCTGCCTTGGGACTCTGCAATGAATAGGTTGCTGAGAAACTCTTTGGGTTAAAGGTGCTGCCAGAACAGGTAAAATGTCTTTGAATTTACCATGGGTTCACCCAGATCTTTCATAATGTGGCATTATGGTGGCCAGTAAAGGGCAAGTGGAAAAATTATCGTGCTTTGTTTTTTCTCTGAAAAAGAAATCATAAGCAAAATAGGAAGCTGTTGAACTATCATGAGTTTCACTCCTGTTTCCGGGACATTTATAACTAAATAACCTCAGGGAAGAACTGTACTGTGGGTCTCCTCTTAGTGATGTACGACTTAATATTGGAGATGGTGAAAGCCCTTGAGTGTGATCAGATAATCAACAATGTAGAGCCTGCTTGCTCTCATAATATGTTGGTTCGCTTCCTGAAGGAGTAAGACCTCCACACCACAGAGTGACAAATCTAGCCTGAGCAGCGGTGCTGTGACCTGTGTTAAAGGGCAGACTCACCAAAGAATGCATTCTCTCAGTGCCAGGGAGCGCTACATCAGCAGTATTGGAATTTCAGTCCTTTATATTTCTAGCTTAACATTTCCCTTTCTAGTGCACTGTATTTAAGAAACAGGCTGCGGTTCCTCCTAACTTCCAGTGTTCTGGAATTTCAAAATACTTCCTTTGGATCATGAATTTAACAGTGCTATGACAGGATAAGAGGTTTGAGCATGTTTCCCCAGTCAGATTCTTACCCACAGTCTTTCTGGTCTCTAGCAGAAGTTAGGAGTGCACTCCCTTCTGGGCCCACTGTTTTGGCAATCACTACCCATGCTACAAGGAGCAGCCTCCCATCCTTTCCAGGTTTAGGAATGTTGAGACCAGAGCTTTTCTTCCAAGAGTTTTTGAATGCAGCATAACATTATGGACCCTAAAACCACAAGCTGTTGACCACCCTGTGAGTTGGGAGAAGAGAGGAGATGCAGTCCTCAACAGCTTCTTAAGGAAAGCTCTCATTCAGTGCTGCCAGGTCCAGTTGTTCTCTGTGGTTTTACAGATAACTTTTTCTATAAATGATCTGTCCTCCATCAAAAAGAATTCCCTCTGTCACAGCCCAAACTCAGGGTCTGCATTTAATCTCACTTTAGAGTGTTTTCATTGAATTCCATCTATTCTCCTTAATATGCTTCAAGTATGTCTCTTCCCAGAACTTAGATAGAGATGGGAGACTGAGGATTGATTCATATTCTCAAAAATCTACATCTTTTGTTCTGTTTAAGAATTATGCTTCTTTATATAATGAACCGTGTTATTTCCTGTTCTGAACATCTTATGAGAACTCTTGCCTTAGCAGAGTTGTCATCTCATAGTCTTTTCTGATTGTCTAATGCTCAACTTGATTTGAATTTTAAGCTTTTCTTTTACTCCTGTGTATTCTGACTGAGCTGTGAGCTATCCTGACTCCCATCAGAGTACCCAAGAAGATGGTTGTTAGTGGGGTCCTGGTGTTAGAATTTCTCTTCATAGCTGTCCTGATGAGACCTCAGGAATCATGGGCTATCAAAGGTAAGTGCTAAGGGGAATCAAAGCTAGAGATGGAGTACGGTGAAGTTTTGGGAAAGTGAAGTTTGAGAATTTGTAGGCATTCTTTGGTGTGGAAGCGTGACAGGAATTACGTGGGTCTAAACCTCAGAGTGTAAACCTGCAGCTAGCTGAGGTGGGGCAGAGCAGTGTAAGCTTGTAATTCCAGCCCTGGGGAGGCAGAGGGAGAAGGAGGATGTTGGCAGTTTGAATTCTACCTGAACTACCTAGCCAGACTGTCTCAAAAAAAAAAAAAATGAAAGCAAGAAAAATAAAATTACAACTTGTTGGCATTCTCCCCTCACCACACAAATTGAGATAAATCAAATTTATTTTAGAGAAACAAACTGAGTTAGCAATTGATTACTATTATTGTTTCATATGAGCCAAACTTGCAAGACTGGGAATATTTTCTGACAAGCATTAGCAAGTGATTTTCCTGGGCTTTCATTTTCCTACCTGATATTTTTCAAATGTAAAATTTGTAGCGATTTTGTTAGGATTAAGTGAGAAAAAATATGAGACTTTATTTGCACTGCAGACATTGTACTGAAGATCACTAAGAAGAAAAGTCTCCAACAAGCAGCAGTGCCCAAGGGAGGGAGGGAGACGGACACGATGATGGTAATGCTGTTTACTTTACTGCATCTCAGGATAGTGATGACTCTCTCTCTCCCCACTCCGTGCCAGCAAAGATTTCACATGACTTACGGTCACTGTTGCTTAGAAATATTTCCAAGAGAGTAGAAAAATGAATTCTCAGGAAGTGTGATACCATTCCCTGCACTGCGGAGGAAACACCTGTGTGGTTGTACACATCTCCTATGGAAGGTGCTGTGCTCAGCCCGAGTGACTGCCCAGGGCTGTAGGTAGGAGGGAAACAAAGTAATAGCTCAGCTTCCAGATCCGCAGGCCCAGTGTGGGGCCCAGAAAGAGCCCCATGCGGTGGTGCTAAACTAAAAAAGTAAAGGTTCTTCCCCTGGGATGGGAAGTGACAGCCAGAGCATCTATGTTTGTGCATGAATCCAGAATGAATTTCTAAGTTTACTGATAGGTGATCAAACGTTAAAATTCTCCACCTTTTCCCTGAAAACTAAGTACATAAATCCTCCTTCTCATCTACACACACACCCTGGGGCTGCGTATCCTCCCACTGTGGATTTTCTCTTTAAAGCTGGTTATTCCCTTGATACTAAACTCAGCTGCAGTCAGAACCATAATGGCAGGCTTAGTATAAGAAATATTAAAGGAAGCATCAAGCTGCCAAGGATGATCCACGGACACGGGTGTTGAGCATGGAAAGTCTACATTTCCTGAGTTCCTCAAGCCCCAGTGATATTTGTCTTATCCTTAAATACAAGTCAGTTTCTCACCTTAAAATGTGAACAGTGCTTTTAGGAAGCCTGACACTAGTACACTAAGAAGTCACTATTCATCTAAAACTAAGCCCTCAGCAGAATCAAAACCCAGCAGAACTATAATTACAAAATCACACACAGTAATCTACTCAAAATCACTAGATAAGTAAATTAGTAAGAATTGAAAGGGGTTTTGTTTGTTGGTTTTGTCTCATTTCAGAGTGCTGGGGATGAACCCAGGATGTTATTTATGCTAGGAAGGTGCTCAACCTCTGATCTAAATCCCTCACCCAAGTGTTCCAGATTGTGTGCGATTCCAGAGTCCAAACTGTTCAAGGCATAATTCCCTTGTTGGGAGAAAGATGCTCTGGGGCTCCTGCTTGAGTGGATTTAATGCCTGGGTAAAAGAGAGTAGAGGAACATTTCTCTCTTAAGGGTTGTCGCTGAGTTTCTAAAAAGAAAAATATCTCTCTGGTAACATGGAGCCAGTTTATTAACTGTCACAAGACTGAACTTCCCACCTGTCACCTTCTCAGCCTACCCTTTCCAACTCTGTCTCCCTTCCCCCTCTGAGCTTGGTCCAGTCCAAATGCTCCCCTCACCTTGTCACTCATCCCTGCTCCCCACCTCTTCTATTCGGCTCCTCCTTGCTCCCTCACATCCTGGCTATGTACACGCAGCATGGTCTTCAGTTCCCTCACCTGATTCCTGCTCTCACTCCCTTTTCTGCCTTTTTTTTTTTTAGAGGAACATAAGATCATCCAGGCGAAATTGTATCTGTACCCTGATGAAGCAGGAGAATTTATGTTTGACTTTGACGGTGACGAGATTTTTCCACATGGACTTAAAGAATCAGCAGACGGTCTGGAGGCTTAAGGAATTTAGACAGTATGCCAGCTTTGAGGCTCCGGGCGCACTCGCCAACATCGTGGTGGACAAAGCCAATCTGGAAATCGTAATGAAGTGCTCCAACCACATTGCAGGCACCAATGGTACCTCTCTCTGTGAATCCCGAGGTGTTGAAACCCATATCTTTAAAATACATTCTTCAGCAATTGTCTTATTACCACTTCCCATCTCAGAGCCCCGACCCTGCCACAAGCAGACCGTAGATTCTCACGTCACAGCCTACAGACTTCATGCATTTGGCTTTTCTTGATGTGCTCAAATCCTATCTCTTTCACCCATGATCACTCACAAAGTCACCACCCTGAGCCCATGATGGGGGAGCCAGGAATGGGCTCTTTGGGTAGCTCATCCCTCGGTATGGGCTCTACAGTGTCAGAGTTAGGCACCCGCCACTGGGGCATAGACTTCTCAGGGCACAGTTTTAACTACTTTGTTTTGTTTTGATCTTTAGCTTTAGGATCAGTAGACAGTTCTGTACCCAAATTAGTGCGAGAGGGAGAAAGGCAAGCTGAATAGGTGAAGGCTAAGTTCTTTCACGTGTCTCCTAGTGCCTCCTGAGGTCACCGTGCTGTCCCACGGCCCTGTGGAACTTGGAGAACCCAACATCCTCATCTGTTTCATGGGTAAGTTCTCCCCTCCGGTGATCAGTGTCACATGGCTCAAAAACGGAGAGCCTGTCACCAAGGGAGTGTCATCCACAGTGTTCCTACCCAGGGAAGACAACCTGTTCCGCAAGTTCCACTACCTGCCTTTCGTGCCATCCACGGAAGATGTCTATGACTGCCAGGTGGAGCACTTGGGTTGAGATCAACCTGTTCTCAAGCACTGGGGTACAGAGAATCCTCAAGTGCTCTTTAGTTTAGTTTCCTCCTCTGGTGTTTCTATCTAGAGTCTTAAGACTCAGAAGTGGTCTAAAACTTCTGCTTCACTTAACACAGCTGTGTTCTCCCATTTCTCCACTCCGATCTCAATCTGCATTTCCCTCGGTGCATCATTCCTCCCTCTTTTTCTTTAATTTATTAGGAATTATTTGATTGACTATATTTGATCCTAACTGCTACTCTCTACTACATTCATTACTATCTATCTGTTTTATTTCTCCCCAGAGTTTGAAGAGCGAAGCCCCATCCCAGAGACAACAGAGAACATGGTGTGTGCAGTAGGCCTGACTGTGGGGTTGGTGGGCATCGTCATTGGATCCTTCTTGATCATCAAGTGCATGAGCAAAGGCAATGCTACAGGACACTCAGGGCCTCTCTGAGTCATGTGAAGGTGGGTTGGACACGGTCAGAGAAAGAGCCAGAGACAGTTATACAAGGTAGGGGAGCAGACAAAGGAAAGGACATCTGACACCAGGTAGACATGCAGAGAAAACATGCCTGTTAGCTTGAACAAGTGAAACATGGGCATCATCTTGTATCCCTAAGGATCTGCCATCCTTTGCATGCACAAACTCAAAGATGGCAGTTTAATAAGTCTTAGAAATGATCTTATGGCACTTAAATCCATTGTCTCATTGAAATTCTGCATCTCATTGAGTTAGGAATGTAGGTGTGTAAGGTTTGCACGCTTTGAAGTTTATATTTCCTGTGGGATCCTATCAGTTCAGAAGCACTTCTGAAATGTAGGTAACCATGGGGTTATGGTAAATTCATTACAGGCAAACGAATTCTCCTAGGGGCCAGTGCTCATTTTTTATCCTCCAGTCTGAAAAGTGCTTTCAAAAGATCTAAACCTAGACAAAGAACAGTTAGTGCCTCCTACTTCTTTTCAGAGTAGGTGTAGGTTTACAACTCATATTGGAAATGTTGTCTTTAAGAGAGGTCAGATGAATATTAAAAAGCCTTTTCCATAGTAAAATCATTAAAAGGGGAAGATATCTGAAAAAAAGAACTCAAAATATCCATGTTATATTCTTCGTGATTATGCATGTTCCTCACACATGATGGCCTTTCCTAAAGAGATGATCAACGAAGAAACCTCTGCCTTGATAACTTCCCAAAGCTGGAAGGGCTCCAAATTGCTCACCTCCATGAAAATTACTCTTCAGGGTTTTCCAGCCCTGAGATGTCCAGAGTGGGGCTGCCCACCCCCAACCTCTCGGTGCTCCAGCATCCGCTGGGCTTCCTGTCTGTTGCTGCTTCTTGTGTTTGTGACTCCTCCACTTCTCACTGTTTTATCATCACCATGAAATTTCTCTGGAATAAGCCCCATACAGTTCTTTCTGCCACATAACTTTCTAATTATTGCACAGGGATAGTTGTTGTTTATCACCTGGGGTTACTCCTGTGAAACTGTGAACTTTATATGTACAATAAAGTATTTGTGTGGATTCTGGTAGAGATCTCAGTGGTCTGATCTAGTTCCTTTGGGGGTTATGGGTGTCTGGGAAACATGCAGTCAGGTACTCAAATGTCGAAATGTGTTTTAAACGGTGGCATTAATCAGAAACCCTGACTCATTAGGACTTGTTTTCATTTGAGGCATCTGCAGAGAGTCCTGTTGCTGGAAATCCTCATCTGGGTAACACTAGAGCAGGACTGGGTTTGATTTTGTCTTTGAGACACTTTGGCTGAGCAGCAGATTCCAAATCCGCTTTTGTTGTTGAGCCTTTGAATCAATGACATGGTTGAAGCTTTGGTAGAGGGAACCCCAAATCTCAGTGTTTGGCCTCTGAGAATGAATGAGAGAGGGACAGGACCAGATAGGAGCAGAGTGGGGAGCAGAATGCAAAGAAGATCCACATAGTTTTCAGGATTTACATTCATAATGACATCACTTATTCCAGACTTAACCTGGGATGCAATTCAGCATTGAAGATTGCCATTATCAGGGTATTGGGGTTAGGTTTAGTGACAGGGTTAGGGTTAGGGTTAGGGGTAGGGAACCATATTATATTCAGATATGTGCCTTGAATTGAAGAACCAAGTAAAAGCAGGGAGGCAGAATATAGCATTAAGATGAAGAAAAGAATATTTAAAATACAGTGAGTTACTATTTGTCTATGAAACTATTCCAATGTTGGAATGATTGACAGAATCTACACAAATCTGAAAAGAGACAGAGGAGAAGCACTCAAGTCTCCCACCTCCCACCTCCAATCTCCCACCTCCACCACCCCCACCCTGGAAGACTGGAGGGAGTGTGGCTTGTCCACTGAGCACTGCCTCTTTGCTCCTCAAATGGACTAGGACAGTGTGCTTCAGTGTCCTCTCTGGTTATCTAGCAGCCACTCTCCTTCCCTCCATTCCAACATGAGTGCCCCTCCACCCCTCATCCTTTGAAATAGGAAAGGAGATACCTAGTGTGGCTAAGACTAAGGAGGGAGGGGTCTGGACGCACTGTTCACATCCCCCCGCAAGCTAACCTTCCAGAAATTCCCAGGTTCCAGCCCTGCCCCTTCCTTCATCAGGTTGTATCCATGACAGTTGAAGCCATCCTGGGCCCTTGCACCAATCAGGGATCTGTTGGATGGACCAATCACAGGCCTTCTGCTCTTTCTAAGGAGCCCCCCACACTTCTCAGGTTAGTCTAAAACTCTGCTGTGCTGAGTGCCATGTGCTGCCCGTAGCACCTGCTGAAGTAAAGGCTTGGCTAGTTGGTCCTGTATACCTGTTCATGACTTATTTCTTGAGTCATGTTGACCACCTCAAAAGAAAGATCAATGAACACTAAATATTGGCAGATTTAGGAGCTCCATGGACCAGCAGCTAGTGAAGATCAGCAGCAGAGGCCCCCATCTGTTGAAGGTGACCTTTGGTGTCTGGTACAAGTTGGCAACAGATGGTGACAGTTGGCAGTGGCGGTGACCAGCAGCTGGCTGTATCAGTTGTAGACATACAGCTTATCTGGTGTCATCTGGTGGCATCAGGGCTGCTGACAGGGCTGGACTGTTCATGGTCATGATTTATATCTGAAGGGAGCCAAAAAGCCCTAGGTTGACTGGCAATGTAAGAATGAATTTGTTCACATCGGTATGAAACTGACAACTGCTGTTGCAGTGAGCTCATCTTGTTTCTGTCATTGACTAGCTGTGTATTCACTCGCATCTTTTAATATGCCTGAGTTTTCATAAAAATACTGATGTAAATTTTTACTACAATCAGTCATTATGAAAATTAAAGGAAAACAAAAGCACAATAATTAGAAACTGGCCGGTGATAATATGGCAAAAGCTGTACATCACATTGTTTTCCTCAAAACTTTTACACCCCTGCGATAAAAATATAAGAGAAACCAAACAAAAACCCACAAGCCAAGAATTAGTACACATAAAAAGTTTTTCTACTTAAGGAAGAACAAATAGAATCTGAAGCTTGTTGAAGTTAGGAGAGGCAGAGCTGTATGATTTTATTGTGAAATAAACAGAAATTGCAATAGACAATACACTAAAGCTCAGACAAGTGTGGAGTTAAAAATTCGTATCCTCCCATATAAGTAAACAACTTTTTAACACACTGTATTTTCTGCAGTGTTGTTAAATTTACTTTATAAAAATGGCAGAGAAAGTAGAGTTTCTGCATTCATTTTTCCCACACTGTCCACTGAGTTTCTTCTATTATAACATCTTTGAAAGTGTTGTACATTGCTTTGATTGATAAACCAACATTTATACTTATTAGTTAAAGTTAAGGATTCTGGTAAAGATGGTGGATAGGAAAGAGAAGATTTCAGAGGCACCCTGAGATAGTCAACTTATATGGTGAAATAACACAGTTTGGGGAGACCTGGACAGAGGGAGATGGATCCTCTCGATGCAGGAAGACACTCAGGTGAGAAAAACCAGTAAAACATGCAGTCCTGGTGCTACTATTGGAACAGCTAAAGGTTTGGTGCTCCCGCTGCAGAGCCCAAACTTGTGCGGCCGCAACTTATCGAGCTGCCTCAATTCCTGTTGCTTTGAATCACTGGTACCACAATCCCAATGAGGTCGGGAGTCGGTGGGCCAAACAGAGAGCTGAGCTGGCAGGGGACCTGCATCAACCTGCAGTGAGTGCCAGGAACAAACCCCTCCCAAGGAAAAGGGTGTCACTTCAACAGGATGATATCTTGGAACCAGGCAGGACAAAGACAGCAGTGACTTCAGTCAGTTGTTCCCTTCTGAGATGGGATTGGTGGGGTTGGCTTGGCCTAGGTCACACCCCTGGCTGAGACCAAATAAGTTGTCCCAAATCAAATTCCTACTCGTGGTTCACACTAACACAGTGAAGGGCTCAGCAGGTTGACTAACCTGGAGGGGAGGGGACAGCACATGATTCCCATGTTTGCACCTCAATAGCACACTGGAGTGGGCAGGATCACCTAGCCATAGCACTTCAGAAGAACAGTAACCAGCAAAGAAAGAGGCTGGGGCATCCTCTATATGCCTGTATGGAAGAAACAAAAATTATGATAAGAGGAAGCAAAAGAAAAGTTTCCAGCCCCCAACCCTGAGAACATTGATCCAGGAAAGGTAAATACAAAAGAGTTTGAGGACAACAAGCATGAAATATCAGACACGGCATTAATGGACATAAAGAGATATCTTTGGGAACTCATAGATGAGTTCAAAACTGAAAAATTTAACCAAGTAAAGCAAGATATAAGTAGATTAATAAAAGAAATGCTAAGTACTTCTCAAGAAGACACAGATGGAAGAATGGAGGAGCACTAAAAAAGGAGAGAATCATTTTATGAAGAATACAAAGAAAACATAAAATACATGAAACGGGTTCAAATACATTATCAGGAAATACATCCATTGAAAGCTGGCAAAAATTCTTGAAAGAAACTAAGGATAGATTATCCAAACTGGAGAAGAGGTTTGCAATTGAGATTATGAAAGGAAAAACTTTTTTTAAAATAATAAAGAAGCAAGCAATAACAATACAAAAGGCTAGAAGACAACAAGAAGATCTATAACTTAAGAATAAAGAATGTAAATGAAGAAACAGGGGTACAAACAAAGAAACTACAAAGTCTATTCACAGAAATAATTAAGGAAAACTTCCCAAACATAGGAAAAAGAAATGATAGTCAGATGTATGAGGCATACAGATCTCTAGCCACCTACAACCAAAGCAGAGCTACACCCAGGCATATAATAATCAAGATCCCAGAAATTCAATATAATAACAGACTATTAAAAGCTTTCAGATACAAGAAACAGATTACCTGTAAAGGAAAACTCATCAAAATCATGGCAGACTTCTTAACACACACCATCAAATCAAGAAGGGCTTGGAGCGAAGTATTCCCAAGCCCTGAAAGAAAATAACCTCC